GGTTTTGGGCTGAGGGTTGAAGGGTCTAGGGTTTCGGGATGAAGGGTTGGTTTAGGGTTACGGTGTGCAGGGTTAAGGGGTTTGGGGTTCAGGGTTTGTTTAAGGTCAAAGGGTCGGTTTTGGATTTGCTCCTGCCTTGGACGGTGAGAAAATGATTTTTGTACCCTTACCGTATGACAAAGAGCATGAGATCTTCGGTTGCCGTGCTCGTAGGGCCATATGGGGTAGATACTTCAGCCGGTACCCCCCCAAAACTCCGCAGCACTCCGTTAGGGTGGGTTTAGGAGTTTCGGGTTTAAAGTTTAGAGTCAAGGTGTTTGGGAACATTATCCCGCCCAATCTTGCAGAGGAATCAAGTGGGCAAGAAAAGGGAAAATGAGTTGGAAACTGGGTTTGCATAGGGGATAGGGATTATCCTGCATAATTACTCACATCATTTTGAGGTTTTCTTTAGATAGCCTATACCATAGAGGCAAAAGGAATCTAGGACCACAATACTGTCCAACACTGGTATAGCCACACCCGCTAACCCTCACACGGTTTGGTGAGATTAGGGTTTGGGGACTTGAGGGGTTCGGGCATACGCCGAGACCCTAGACCTTTCACGGGTTTGGGTATAGGAAGTCTACTGCTTAGGGAGTGTAGGGAAGTCCCCTCCCCACAGCGATACCCAGTGACTGATGCAAGGGCTCTAAATCCTATAACTTACTGTTTCCTGGTAGGGAATATGGGAATATATTATTTAGGGCTTGCATAGGAATTATGTTCCTTGATTCCAGCCAGTAAGTATAAGTTGATATGTATCCGTCTGTTCAGCCTCACCTTTGCCCCAAACCCCAAACCCTCAAACCCTACATGTACTATATTGCTAGATGGACCCTTTGGAATGGTAAACCCTAAACCCTATGCAGAGTCCCTTTGAAGGGTCACACAGTGAGGCACCAAAACGAATGGCGCAGGATTTCGAATTTCGAAAGGTGTGAGGTTTAGGCTGCAGGGATCCCTTCATATATATATATATACACACATATATCCTGTATATTTAGGGATCCCTTCAAAGGGGCTATATAGGGTCCCTTTGAAGGGAGTAGATGGGGATAGGGTTGTGGTTGGTGCTAAGACACCTGCATGACTCTTTTTACACGTGTTCTTACAATCAACAATAAAATCACACAAGGTTCCCAAAAAACGGGGCAAATGTTCACCTATAAGCCCCTAACCCCTTAACCCTAAACCCCTAAAACCATTTATATCCCTTTAGATCCCTATATAACCCCTTTTCCCCTTTAAAGGAACCTAAACCCTAGAACCCATTATCCTTAATTTCCATTTTCTTCTCCAGTATCCCTATAAACCCCCTGAATAACCTCTATAAGCCCCCTAAAGCCCTGAACCCTACACCCTAAACCCTAAACCCCAAACCCCAATCCCTAAACCCTAAACCCTAAACCCTAATCCCTAAACCCTAATCCCTATACCCTAAACCCTACACCCTAAACCCTACACCCTAAACCCTAATCCCTAAACCCTATCCCCTATATCCCCGATCACCGAAACCCTAAGCCGGCTTGAGCCCTCCCCCTAATCCCTATAATCCCCTATA